AAGTAGAGTAAATGACTGAACAAGCTAAGATTGAAGTTAATTCTAAAGATTGTAGCTCAATGTGGAGAATGGAGCAAAAACGGCGGCTAAGGTTAATACTAAGAAAAAACTAAAACTCTTTCTTTCAGTGGAAGTTTCAATAATGAACTGCTAAAAAAGTGGTTTCTATTTATCTCTGGCTGAATAAAATTGAAAGATAATACAGAAATAGGTATTGAGAACTAGAGAGCAGCGCCTTAGTAGGAAGATGATAAAAATTTTTGCCCCAGAAGGGCATAGTAAATCAAAAAAACATTTTGAGAAACAAGGCTACAGATAATAAAATATAAGATCACTATTGTGCCGAAACTGCTTTACAAATAAAATCAGGCATTTAGTATAAAAAAAAAAACATGAAAAGAAAAAAATTAAAGGGCCAGATGCAATATACTCTTAGATATGAACATGACTTGATGTAAACCTGCTGTCTTGTCTGACGACGTCACATTTCCAAAAATGAAGCCTTGCGTGCTCTCCTTATCCAGATGATGAAGCTGCTGGAAACCAAATTTGGCAATAACTTTAAACTGACCTTCTCTTGTACTCCACTTTCCAGTAACATGCATCGTAATTGCAAAGTGGAAGAAAACTGTGAAACAGAGGAATGATGCTGAGAGCCACAGTGGCAACATCTTAACTTAACGCCACAGTGATTTATCCAAAATCCAAAAGCTTCCATCTCTTTAACTCAGTTTCTTACAGTGCATTCTTCCTGAAGAAAGCTCTTGATTGCCACAAACACAGCTCAACGGCCTGCCAACACTATATTTCTAAAGAGGCCAAATCTCAATTTTAAACAAAATTTACAACAACTGCATTTTTTGACACAACTGAGTAAATAGCATTGTGATACTAAGTGACGACGCTTCATAGTACAGATAAGATGAAATTAGAAACAGTCTTAGAAACTCAAATGCTCCTAAAACGAGCATAAAAAAATTGGGAGTCTGTAGATTAGTAGTCCAAACAAGCAGAATCCAACCAAGAAATTTCATCTTGAAAAATCATTTCATAAAAAAATGAGATTTTTACAATAATTTTTTCACAAATTAAATAAGCAATGGACTGACGTTCAAATAAAGGCTATCATTTAAAAGTAGAATGAATGCAGAACATTGGGAAATTACAGATAAAAGGGAAATTCTATAACTATTCACACTAAACTGTCCAAAAAAGTGCTCATTTTTGAAATAATATATTCAGAAAGAAACAAAAATAATAGGGAGAAATGAATAATAGCCAAAAAATTCTATAGCACTTAAAAACGAAGAAAAATGTGTTTGAAACGCCAGATGTAAAAAATTTGGCTTTGAACTTTAAAGAACATATTCTGCAAAGTCAAAAATTAGAACATTTATTATCCATTAAGCTTAACGGTATTTCAAGTGGTAAAAATCAAACTAACCGTTTGATATGATAAAAAACTAAGCTTTATTAGCTTTTCTAAACCATGAGCAAACTGTAATCTCCCAGCAATTCTCCTCTAAAAAGTAGGTAGTATTCAACAACGGCAGAACAAAAAGTAAAATATTTTATTCCTCAAACAAACTAGGATCTCATTAGTTTCAAATAATAATTATATACAAGCACTAGACCACGACAAAACAAACAATTTAAAACCTAACATGCAATTTGAAGGTCAAAGTAAAACGACAGAAAATATCGTAATGTTGTTTAGAAAAAAAAAATTCCTTCAAAGTACAAAGCCCAAAATGATGACCAGTGGCGTTCAGTGCCAAACTTAAACAAATGACAATATACGTCAAAACTAATTAAAACAATTACTTTTCAATTCACTTTCACCACTGTTCACTAGTAAAAACGTATCCCAAATCTTTGTCGACAACTCATCGGCTCGTGTTGAAATAACTGCAATTTTCTCCATAATTAAAACCATGTCTCATTAAGTTTATGACACAACTTTCAACGAATTGAAACTTTAGAAATTAAATATCAAGAAAAAATGCTTTCAACAAAATATTAATATTTCTCCTCGAAGGTATTTCATCTACACAAAAAAAAAATACAAGGTAAAGTAACAACTAATTTGCTAAGGTTAGCAGCCTAAGTAGTTATGGAAACTATATAAATATAAGCAAAGAATTTACTAGTAATGATATTATAAAAGGCAGTAGCAGATTAAAAATAAGCACTGCAAGTAGGCTAAAATCAGTGAGTGCCACATACGAAAAGCGTCTGGAAAAAAACTCAATGTAAACAACGACATCGACCAATTTCTTCATATCGCAATAAAATGCAACATGAAGAAACGTTTTATTAATATTTAATCTGTTGACAATCTTCTTTGTCCGGCAAACATGCTCGCTTATATAAGAAAAAAACAAAAACAAGATGAGTAAAAACTAGCTCTTAATGTCCTTACGGTCTATTAATGAAATCAAAAACCATCATAGAGGGAAACATAAAGAATAAAAATTCATTACTATACCTAATTATTTTGGATATCGCAGACTTATGCTCTACCCAACACCTTCCGACTCAACTTTTCTGGTGAATTATAAAAAAAAAAAGAGGGTTCTGTATTAAAAGTTTTTAATGTAACCGGTCCTCAGACTCATTAATGCAGTCTCACTTTCTCCAATTTCATCAGTTCCGCTGGCATTTCACTATGCTATTTTTAAAGAGATTAAATCAAGGTTAAGACAAAAAGCCCATGTCAAAAACAATATTTCCGACTATATAAGCGGTGGAAAACGAAGATTACATCTGCAAAACAAATAAGCGCTTAATTTAAATAAATACAAAACGGTTTTCCATA